GTGCCCGCTCTCCAAGCGGCCGCTGAGGTGAGGGGAAGATAAAGGGAAAGGGAAAGCTGGGTCGTGCTCTCGCTGCCCGCCCTTGGCCTGCTGCCGCCCCAAGTCGAGCGAGGGGGGCTGCCAAAGGGTAAACCCAGGTTATTCACTCCTGTTGTTCTCGTTTCCCCCTGACTTGCCTGGCCAGGTACGAAGAAGCTACCAACGAGCTCATTAACGAGGAGCTGGGCATTGCGTACCCCATCATTGACGGCATCCCCAACATGATCCCAGAGGCTGCCAGGACGACTCGGAAGAAGCCCCCCGCTGAGGACTTGAATCAGGCCTGAGGACCCCCAGCCACTGCAGTGAAGTGGGGCTGATGGCTGGAGGAGGCATGCTCCTCTCCCTGCCCACGCTGACCGTGCTGGTGCCCCTCCTGTCCCTAGCAGGCTTGTTTTACTCAGCCAGCATGGATGAGACCTTCCCACAGGGCTGCACCAGCACAAGCAGCTTATGTTTCTATAGTCTCCTCCTTCCTATTACGATACCCGTTTATGTGTTCTTCCACCTATGGACCTGGATGGGGATTAAGCTTTTCAGGCACAACTAGTGCAATGCATTTGCTAACTCCTGAGCTCCCATAAAGTGACGCAGTTTATTTAATCTCATCTGGTATTGCAGTTGGTTTGAGAGAGTCCCCTTCTGGCACTAGTGACTCTCATAATTTTCCTAGTACTCTCTGGAACTATGAAGTCCTCTGCAGCAGCCTGTTACTTAATTACTCTAAGGCACATAAAGAGGAAGAATAAAAAGAAGCACTAATTCCTTCTAGTGTATCCCATCAAGTGTTGTGCATTTGTGGTGGCACTAATGAAAATCTTACAGGTAGCAATCGTTTTTACGAGGAAGAACTCTACCCTGACTGAACTTAAATAATAAACAATGATAACAAGCAGCAGTATGAATCTTCTCTCTCTGAATTACAAGCGCTGGTTCGGTTTTGAACTGATGCATGTATTGAAATGTATTTGTCTCACTGTCAGAGTAACATAAAATAAATTGGGCTGATGTTTAATAACAAAACCTGAGTTAAATTTATGTGGGCGATACCCATGTCTGTATCTCCAGTAGCTGCTTGCTTTTACTTTTTTCTTAAGAAAAAGATGGGGAAAGGACATTGCCACAGAAAAGATGTACTTGTGCATTTGGGGGGTTTTGTTAGAGTGGCCTCCAGTATATCTGCTTAGGAGATATATGTCCCTGTACCACTTGTTAAATGTGTCTTGAGTGCCCGAGTTTTATAGCCAGGCTGGGTCATCTTCGTCAAAGAGGCATCTCATGACAGGTCAGAGGAAAATATTCCAGCTGAGCCCAGGATTTGGAAACCAAGTCAGCAGCTACAAATGCTTTTTAGGTACATGGAGTATCTTTCCCTTTAGCACTCTCTCTTCCTCAGCAGAGAGAGAACAGAAGATAGTTCTGTTCAATACTCCAACCTTCCCTGTTTTCATTTACAGTAACACTAGAGAACAGAAGTGACAGACCACACTGAGGGTGTCATGTGCAAAGTTCTCATTACTGCCCTACAAAATGTCTTAACAGGACACAGCTGTGAAGGGGACAGGTTAATGCTACGATAATCTGTTACAAACCTTGCTTTTTCATGTTTTGCGCTGGTTGGTTGATAACTGCAACACAAATGTCCTTTCCCTGCTGAAAATTTCTGAAATGCGGCACCCAGCTGTAAATACTGCAGACCTCAGTGTCTCTTGGTAGGATACTAATAGTCAGTCAAATTGATCAGGCTGGTTCTGCCAAATAATGCTGTGATGAAAGGCAAGAAGTGTATTCAAAGGCTGACTCCAACCAAGTGCAGCACTTCTCTGGGGTTCCTTGTACAATCGGTGGAGAGAAACTAGGTCTAGAGGGCAGCACAGGGCACAAGCCTTATTGCCTCTGTAAATAAATGCCTCCTTTAGCTGATATGATGAAGGGGGAAGGAAAGGTAGCTCTAAGAGCCATTGTGAATCTTCTCTTAAGTGTACAGGAAGGAAAAGCTTTGACAGCTCTGGTTGGTGTGAAGGTTCACTTGGAAAGAACCGAAGTGGATAACAGGGCAGTGAGGTTGGCAGTTTTTGCTGCAGACATGTGCCAGACTGATGGCCCTTGTGCTAGTGACTGACACTCACATGGTCCCTGCGCTGAGCTCTGCCCTGGGGCAAGTGCCCTGTTCCCTCCTCAGGGCTAGCATTGCAATGCCTGAAGAAAATACAGCTGCCAGGACCTTTGGGTTTGCATGGAAATGACAGACTAAAGCCACATGGAGAACAGCAGCATTATACTCAGCTTTTCATCTCTCTGACTGGCACTCTCCTCCCTTTCCCTTCAGGCAGCATGTCCATGACAGAAATGGTTTCTGTGGTTGTGTCATTTGCTGGCCTCTAGGTTGGCTCCCCAGCCACCAGGTTTTTCACATACAGCAAACTGGCCTTTAAAGTAATAGTAACAAACTTTGCCCATTACCTGTGTCCTGAGCAATCCTATTACATTACCTCACAGCAACCTCACAGTGAATAGCACTGCCACTTGCATTTAACTTAGACCAAGAGAGCTTGATGGCTACCTGGAATATGTCTGGTACTGTCCTCCAGATTTACTCTTATGTCCCCTGTGGAACATGTTCTATAATAATGTGATGAGTAGTTGTTTCGTTGTATGCTCAGAGAATACCAAAATCCTTCTACCGATACTTCAGTAACACTGAAAACCAAAGAACACTGCAGCAATATATTTAGAGCTAACAAATAATACAATTTGGTCTCTTACCTTTAAGATTTTCCTGAATTGCTGGGTTGGTGCATGATTTAAATGGGTCCATATGTCTTGCAGAAGGCATTGTCTTCTGACTGGAAAATCCCACTCTTCATTGCCCATTGTTACTATGGGTATCTGAAGATCGAAGTAGCAGTCTGTTAGCAGTGTATCGATGTGTTTATTTCTTCTAAATTGTAAAAAAATGCCAACACTTACATTTGTAAAGATGCTGGACAGAGCATTGCATTCTGCAAAATGAACATCAATCTTGTCTTGCATGTCAAAGATGCATGGATACTCAGTCAGCTTCCACAGGGCCATCTGAAATGAAAAGGAAGAAAGAAAAGGATATGTTCATCATCTCTTGCAAAATCAGAGTTCAGGGGTGCATGTGCAGACTGAACTGCCAGTCTGTACCCTGGCCAACTCCCGTATCTCTGAAACATGCCCTTGTTGTGTACACAAACACTACACCAACAGGAGCACACTTTCTGAAAGCGGCTTCTAAGTGCTTCTGTGAGTGGGAAACCCTGACAGAGGAGCACCTGAACTGTCTGTGCAGGCAGATACTTGTGTTACAGTGCCCCAAAAATAAAACAGAGAGTGATTTTAATAGCATCTTTCACAACTCGGTTAAACCGAAACAGGCAGTAAAAATGTCCTGGATACCCATGTTATGGTACATTGTTAAAAACTGTTGGATTTATTATCTGTAATACCAAAAAGTAGAAACTTTTGGTATAATAACCTAATTCAAAGTGTTACACCTGCACTGTGATAAGGCGGCGACTTCAAGTAATGTCCTATGTGGCTTTTGATTTTATACTGTTTCTCAAACCTCTTCCTCTGTTCTGGTTAATTGGTACGAAGTTGGTAATTAGCATATGAAAGCTTATGAAAGAATGAGGCAGTTGCCCTGCAAATTCCCGCCAGATTGCCTGAAAAGTGCATTTTTTGCCTACGGAAGCCCCTACTATCCACATTTCCATTTCTTGCTGATGCCTGTGATATGCCAACTAATCTAAATAAAAGAGAAAAAAGTGGTTTGCACTGCTGGCAAGATTTTATACTTACTTCTTCCATATTAAGGGACCAACACATTATGATAAAAGGTTTCACTTGAGGCACATAGAAGTTGTGTTCTTGTACTCTGAAGCCAGTTCTGGAGTTCACCTGCATTGATACACACAATACGAAAAGGGGCATCAGCAGATCGAGTGAGCTACGTGTCTGTGTGGCACGACAGGACTGGGAGTAACAGGGCTTTTTTTGCAGAAAGAGCTCTGAGACTCTGCACAGAAGTGGAAGGATGGAAGTGCTATGAGGAGCACAGTGCTCAACAGTAAGTCGTTCCAGGAAGCTATAAACTAGCAGGAAAGCAATTTTCATTTATAATGAAGATCCCTTAACAGTGCTCCATCAGGAAAGGTATGTTTCACTTTGAACGTCTTTCATGTTGCAGGACAATCTGAAGTTCCCTATTCACATTCAGATTTGTTGCCTGGCAAAGACCCAGTGTGGTGGGGGACAGTGAACACGTAAAGTTCCAAATGACGCAACTACTTACAGAGAAGTAGGCCTGCAGCACTTCGGAGTTTATTTATCTGTACAGAATACACATTCAAGAGTCTAAATTTTGAGGCCCAAATCTGCATTCTCACTCGAAAGGATATTAAGTTCTGAAGAAAATTTAACGACTCTCTCTGATTCACACTAATCACCATGTGCCAGTATTTAAAGGGTGGCTACAAAGATGGAGACTCCCTTTTTGCAGGGAGTCACAGAGAGAAGAGGAGGGGTAATGGGCACAAGTTACAGCTGGGGAGATTCCAGCTGGACACAAGAAGAAAATTTTCACAATGAGAACAATCAGCCGCTGGAATAATCTCCCCAGGGAAGTGGCAGATTCCCCAATACTGGACACTTTAAGATTCAGCTGAACAGGGTGCTGGGATAGCTGGTCCAACCTTTCTTGGAAAAGCATGACCTAGACTAGATAATCCTTGAGATCCCTTCCAACCGGGCATTCTGTGATTCTATGAAGTGCAATGCTTAAGCTGTTGACTTTCTTAAACTTTGAACATCTCAGCAGGAGAAAGGATTTTTGTCAGCAAGAATACAGTTGCTGCCCCCTTTCTTCCCATTCCTTGAATACAGCTAAAGATGATCTAATTCTACTGTCCCAGAAAATCTCTCAGGTAGCAGGCTTTTAAAGCATCACACAGCGTTGTTGTGGCAGCCACGATGTGCCAAGCAGGTGGGTTGCCTTTTAAATGCTGTGAGCAGTTACTGAGGTGAGTGATCTCACCAGCAGAAAGGAGAATGGGCATGCTACGTAATGGACACCACATCCATAGCTCTCTACACACCAATGCATACGCTTCCCACACCACTGAAAGCACCCCCTCCTGCCTGGGGCTATCGCATACTTGAAGCTCTTAATTTCTACAGAGGCTCAGCCAGGTATGACTCAAGAGCAGGATTCCTTCAAAGCTATGCTGTTGTAGAGCCAAAGAGATTCCTGAAGCAATGC